AGACGAACTGGAGTGTAGGCCAGAATGTGGGGTGGGGTGAGAAGATTCACCATAGACAGAGTGGGGAGTAGAACAAGCAAATCTACCGAAATACACTGCTGAGGGGACAGAGGGCAAGACAGGAGAGGTCTGCTGCTCCATGTGGGTAACCTCCCTGGCTGAGGTTCGAACTCAGGTAGTCGCAGTGCTAGAGCTGAGACTTAACCTCTAGGCCACCAGGGAGGCCGAAGTTCAGGATTTCTACCTAGTAACATGGAACTATCTTCAGTAAGATCTATCCACAGAAAGATTTATAAACAGCAAAGAACAGAAGACAGGATGCTACCCCTCTGTAAGAAAAGGGAGGAAATATGAATATATGCTTGTATTTGCATAAAGAACGACTGGAGGATGTGGAAGAAACTAAAGACAGTGGCGCCCTGGGGGGACAATGAGGAGGACAGGGGGGAGCAGACTTTGTGTATTTACACAGTGTTTTGATGTTTTAACTGTATGAATAAATTACCTCGTCAGATTTTCTAATGCAATTGCCCCTGGAAAGGAGACAGGAGGTGAGAGAGGATGCAATGGGGGCGCTGTTGCTTTCTTCTTGATGTCGGAGCAAGTGTTTGTATTACTTTTACGAACAGGAAAAAAAAGGAAAATTTTAAGTGGCAAATAAACACAAAAAGATGCTCCATCTCACTAGTCGTCAGAGGAATGCAAATTAAAACCACAGTGAGATGCCATTTCATACCCAGCAGGCTGGAAGAAATTTAAGTGGGACAAAGCTGAGTGTGTCAAGGATGGGCGCGGAGCAAGGTTGGGGTGGGGGCGCACCCACAGGATGGGGGGATGAGGGTGCACAACCCCAAGAAGGTGCAGAAGAGCTTCCTCCCACCCAGGATTCTCCCCAAGAGACCCCTGCACACGAGCCTGGGAGACACGTCCGAGAGTGCTCCCAGGGCAGTGTTGGCAATTGCCAAAACCGGAAATGAGCTAAATGTCCAGCCATAAGAGAACCGATAAAGGGACTGTGGGCTTGCTCACCCAAGGGAATATTCCATAGCAGTTAAACAGATGAATGTGGACTGATCTCAAAACTGTGCAGAAAGGGCATCCCTAGTGGCGCAAGGGATTAAGCACCACTCTATGAAGCAATCTGCCATCTCTGCAGCACATGTTCAATCCCTGCCACCTTTGCAGCACAAATTCAATCTCGGGCCAGCCAGGGAGCAACCCACATGGCACAGCAGACCTCTCCTGTCTCGCCTGCTGCTCCCCTCAACAGTGTATTTCAGTTAGTCTGCCTGTTCTGTTCCCCACTCTGTCTGTGGTGGATCCTCTCACCCACCCCCCCCCACATCTCTGGCCTGTACCCCAGCTCTTGTTGGCATAAATAAATAAATCTTAAAAAAAAAAAAAACAGTGCAGAAAAAGGAAAATACAAAGGCTACCTTTAATATATGGGGTTTTAAAATGGAAACTAATACCCTATATGGCTATATCCCTCTATCTTAATGGCAAAGGCATAAAGACAGGCAGTGAATGATGCCCACCAATTTCTGATGAGTTTACTTCTGGGAATGGGGGAAGGAGCCAGGAGAAGACAGGGGGCTTCACCTTCAGGCATAAGATGGTATCTCTTTAAAAAATAAAAATATAAGAAATAAACATAGCAAAAAGGATTTGACAGAGCTCAGGAGTGGGTACAAGGATATGTTATTTTTCTCTTTTGCACAGAGTTGAAATACATCTTAATGAAAATAGCAACAAACTAGGTTTGGAGGATGGACATCAGCATAAGGCTGGCTGGGGCGTGGGGAGGAAGGAAGCAGCACAGAACACAGAGCAGCCATGACCACAAAACCCTACAGCAAAGCAAGGGTCAGGGAGACTGAGCTGGTATGGGGTGCCCTACACACTGCGGCACTAGCAGCCTGGGCCTCCAAGGGCTCTGCAGACTCTGGAAAGAATTCCCAGAACATGCTGGGACTTGGGCTAGGCTCAAGGAAGTAGCTGGAGCTGAAACCACAAATAAGCCAAGGAGAGTCTGATGAAGGCAGGTGGGTGCTTCGTGGGGCTTTGCCAGGTGGTGGACTGTGGGGAGAGAGGGGGAAGAGAGCACAGTTCCCAGCAATGGCTGAGCACCCCCAAGATAGCACTTGTGGGGGCCTCAGGACACAGTCATCTCTGACATCCTCTACCCAACTCCTAAAATGCCTGCTATGACCCACCTTGTGCCCTGCTGGGAGCTCCCTCCAGGGTGAGGGGTTTTGTGGGAGAGAGATGAACAGTGACAGATAGGACCCCAGGTTTGAGGCCAAGCTCCACTTTCCTCTCCTCTGGGCTTTAACTCAAGAGGTTGGAGGGCCTCTCTGGTGGCCTAGGGGTTAAGTCTCAGCTCTATCACCGCAACTGCCTAAGTTCAATCCCCAGCCAGGGAGCTAACCCACACATGGCACAGCAGACCTCTCCTGACTCCCCTCAGCAGTGTATTTCAGGAGATCTGCCTGTGTTCTACTTCCCACTCTGTCTCTGGAGAATCTTCTCACCCCCACCCATCTGGCCTACACCCCAGTTCTTGTATGCAAAAATAAATAAATCTTTAAAAAAAAACAGCTATAAAGGTTGGAGTCTGTTCATCCCCAGCTCGAATGTTCCCACAAGCACCTGCCAAGGGCTTGTCAAGAAGACCTGATTCTATCCCAGAACTGGGCTCTCCTCAGGTCCAAGTAAGGCTATCAGGAGTATAGGGGGGCCTCTGCCTCTCTCTCCAAGACACCAAAGACCAGCTAAGGAAGAGAGAGCGAGGAGCCTGAAGCCCTCTTCCACCTCCCTGAGCTGGCCGGCCCAGGGAGGCCCGAGAACAATGGGGCAGCTCAGACCCTGGGTAGGCCCACCCTTAAGCTTTGGGGAAATGGAGAGGAAGAGAAAGGAGGGAGTGGGAAGGAGTGTGTAGGAGGAGGGCCAGGAGTCAAAGGAGCATTTGTTCTACTAAGTGGCTTTTTTGTTGTCAAAAATTGGCCCCAGCTCAGTCTACTGGAAGCCTAGGGCAAATCTTCCTTGGCCACACCCACCTCCCCGCCACCACCTGTCACACCACAAGCTGGCTGCACACCTCAGCTCACGCACACACCTGCTCCTCTTGGTCCCAGTCCCCTATCTGTCCAGGCAGAGCCCACTTTCAAGACCCTCTTCTCTCTCCCTTGACAAGTTCTTCCCCCAAAATTCCCCTACATTCCTTGGCGAGAACAGAGCCCACCCCCTCCATCAGCAACTTCAAGTCTTTCCTATTCCTGGCTCATCATCAGCAACTTCAAGTCTTTCCTATTCCCAGCCCTGTCATGATCCATTCCCAACCTTCAGGGCACAGGCGCAGGCGTGGCCAGAGCAGAGCTAGGCCTCCAGCAGGGGCCCCACGTGAGCACCCTGAAAACCCCAGAGCCTGGGCCCAGTGCTTTCGTGGCTTAACTGGGGACTCTGAGTGAGTCACGTCTCCAGGACCTGGAGTAGCCAGGCCCGAAGAGGTGACGGGAGGAAGCCGAGGAGGGGCCCAGGCGGGCACTTATTCCTCAGCTACGCCAGGCACCCACTCTGTGGCAGACACTGCAGTTCAAAGTCAGCAAAACCGCCGGAAATCCCTGCCTGACATTCTATAGGTGACAGAGGAGAAACAAATCCTTAAAATGCATGGAATAGCATCAGATTCCTACTACTACTGAGAAAGAGATAACAGGGAGGGAGGGGGGGGAGTTTATATTGGGCATTCAGGAAATCCCCTTCTGAGGATTTGAGCCCCGCAGCCCTGATAGTGCAGCCACATGCATATTTGGTGAAAGAACCTTCCAGGCAGAAGGAAGTGCAACTGCAAAGTGCAGAGGTGAGAGAAAGGCTGAAAAATGGGAGGCCTGTGTGGCTGCAGGGAATGAGAGAGGAGTGAGGAGTAGGGGGTGAGGTAAGGGGCAGAGGGCCGATAGTGTGGAGCAGAAGAGTATATGATGGTGAGGAAAGTCCCAAGTCAGAAACCATTCCCACATACCCGGGGGCAAGACCTGCAGGCAAAGCCCAACAGTCAGAGGCGTGTGATGGAATCAGTGGAACAGCAGCTGGGCCCCTCTGCAGGTTGGGAGGAGCCCCTTCATCTCCCCCACACGCCGAAGATGGGCAAGGCCCCGGCAGACAGCCAAAGATGCTGGAGGGCTGTCATAAATCCTGATGCCCTCCCAGCATGCCCCTCGAGGACAATCCCAGCTAATCTCTCCTGAAAGGAGCAGCACGTGGGCAGACGCAGTGGCAGCCAGCGGCTGGCATGTTCCTGCCTGCTCCCACCCTGCCCACCACGCCCAGGAGCCATCTGACTGACTGTCATCTCAGCCTCACAGGCAATTACCACAAGAGCACCTTACCCCGCCCGGGCAGAATGACAGCTGGACAGCATGTCACTCTCACAGTGGCCTTGGGTCCGGGGCGGGCTGGAGCACACTGACCATGGAGGACACAGAGGTCCCGGAGGGAAGCCAGGAGGGAAGCCAGGCTTCATCTACACCCCTGAAGCTGACAGCACAAGAAGGGTCAGGAGATGGGCCCTGAAGCCCCTGAAGACACTGGGTCCAATTCTCTCACCATACAGATGAGGAGACTGTAGTGCAGAAAAGGGCTCATACCTGGCCCTGCTCACACCTGAGGAAATCCTCTTTGCCACCCCTGTTCCTTAAGAAAACGCCCAGTTACGCAGACAAAGAAAGCCTTGTGGCTGGTGAGGAGTTCAAAGGAGAGTGGGACCTGGGCCAGAAGTGGGTGTGCCCCTGGGAAGTGGGGCGTGGCCCCCAGAAAAAGAAGGGAGAGGTGTGTCCACGCCAGGATTGCGGTGCAAGCCCATGGGGGATTCCCAGGCAGCAGTGCATGGCTGTAGACAGCCTGGTCTCATGGCCCACAGGGCTGAAAGAGACTGGATGAGTGGGTCCCAGGTCCAGGACTCAGGAGCCTGGGAGGAGGGTTGGTGGTAGGAGACATCTTACCTCGGAACTTCTTAGGGGGGTTGTCCAGGTCCCCGGCCGCAGGCTCCACCACACAGCGGTCATCCACCAGCCTGGGGGACAAGGCAGCTCAGTCAGCGGGAAAGAAGCGGCCCATCTCTCTACAGAGGCCTCCCCCGCCTCAGGCCAGGGAATTCCAGGGCCCCAGGGAGGCCTTCAAATAAACCTCTCCATCACTCACAAACCGCAACCATCAAGTTGTTCCTTTTCCAGGCACCACTGTTAAAAGGCAAGGTCTCTCAGGCTAGGGGTGGGAGAGCCCCAGGAAGAGCACAAAACCACACCCAGCTCACCCCCCATCCCCAGCTGGAACTGGGCAGTCGGCTGCTGGCTAGGCTGTCACACACTGCCAGGAACTCCTGCCAAAGTCTCAAGTCCCTGCTACCCAGACCTGAAAGGGATAGTGGGCAGTGGAGGGAGAGAGAAAGGGACCAGGAGAGATCAAGTTAGAGGCATAGGGAGGGAAAGACCATCAGAGCCAGGAAGGGTGGGAGACAGAAAGTGGCAGGTAGACAAAGTCAGAAAGAGAAACAGGCTAAGAAAAAGAGGCAGAGAGAGACAGACAGATGAGAGATGCCTATGAGAAACTCCAAATGAGGGGACAGATTTGGGGGTCTCAAAAACAGGACAACAAACCTCACACCTTCCTAACCTCAGCCAGGCCCCATTCCATACTCTCTTCTTTGGTACACCCTAGGGCATTGAAATAACCCTTATAACCATGGCTGGAGCTAACCCCAAATTCCTGGACAACATCCACCCTGCAGCCATCCATCCATCCACCTCCCCACCCATACATCCCTTCATTCATTTCTGAGTTTAAATTTCCTTAGTGCCACCCCTCTAGGAAAAAGGTTAAAGATGGCCCACCATTTCAAAGGCCAGCTCTATCTTAGCAGTTCACAACTGCTGTCTCTGAATTCTCAGCAATTTCCTCACAAGTGACTAGTCATTAGTGCCACTTTACAGAGAAGGAAACTGGGTTTGAAGGTTAAATAATTTGCTTAAAGTCACAGCTCTGATTCCAAAACCTCCTTCTGCTCCTCCCCTCCTTCGCTTAGTTAACAAGGCCTTTTGTGATCCGACCTCCACCCACTCCTTAGCTAGCCTTACACTTCCTGGCCCCAGCAATGCTAAAACCACCCATTGTTCCCAGGGCCCCTGGAGCTCTCATGTCAACAGAGGTGGTCTTGGCAGCCAGCAATGCCCTTCATGCCCTACCCACCCTGGCTCTCCTCCCAGCCAGAGGCCTACCAGAACTCCATTCATTCTCAGTGAAGCCTTTCTTGGCCAATACCCTCCCTCCCATTCTCCCTCCCTCCCTACTAACCTGGTTCTGGCCTCTCCTGTCACCACATCTCCTACTACTACCATTATTGGCTGTGTCTACACCATGAGATCCTTAAGGAAGAACCCTGTGTTTTCCCTTTGGCACTACCTCTGCAAAGTGGTAATGTAACAGGGTAGTCCCCAGGAAAGGGGGAGTTTCCAGGTTTCCTGCCCCACCCAAAAGGAAGGTGTTGCTGAGCAGGGAGAAGAAGCTGCAGAGGACACTGAGGAAGGAAGGAAGCAGGATGGAGCCAGAAGGAGACCTGGAGGAGGCACATGGAGCAGAGAGACACGTGAAGAAATTACACTTGCCTTTTGGTCGTGGCCTGGGTGACACAGATGTGGGTGAGAGACCCGTGGGGAGGTGACAATGACAGTTTTTGTCTTGATTTTGATTTTGCTCTTTTCCCTCCAGACTTGTCTGGTTGTTTCTGGTCCTTTTCTGTGGGTCCCCACTGGAAGATGCTTTAGACTTGTGGCAGGCTTTGGGGCCTTGCTCTGGGCCAAACCCATTTGGATGGACTTTTACCCACGAGGGGACGGGTAACTTTGGGTGCTTGATTTAGAAACTATATTCTTTGTCTTTTCTGCATTGTTTCCTAATTGTATTAAAGTTCCTTCCCATTAAAGTCTCCTATGTTTTGTGTTGATGCGATGCAGTGGATGGCAGTACCCATCTAGAGCAGGCAGGTTTGTGGGGTCTGGAGTGCCCCTCTCCCTGCCCTGTAACAGTAATGGTAATTATAATAGCAAGCAGGGTTCTATTTCTAATGTTATTATATATTGTTACTTATCTTTCTAAATCTACTTTGTTTTTATTTCCATTATCTAGCAGGAGAACCAGAGTACAAAGAGGTTAAACATTCTGTCCAGGGACACACTGCCAGCAAGCAGCAGAGCTGGGTTTTGAAGTCAGACTGTTCAGCATCGGGGCAGGGGCTGCAGGGGCCTCACAGCGGCCAGTGACAGGAAAGGAGAGGGCAGCGTGAGGACCCCTCTGTCTCCTCCCTCTCCCTGGCCTCTGGACAGGCTCAGTGCTTGGCCCTCTCGCTCTCCATCTGCTCAGGCCCCTTGTCATCTTGACCACACTCATAATGGCTTCAAAGTACCACTTGCACCTCACCAGTGACCGAACACTCATCCCTGCCCTTCCTTGTCCCCCAAACTCCAGCCTAACCACCTACCTAATCTCCACTTGGATGTCCACCTTCTCAAACTCAGCGGTTTAAACCTGAGCTCCTGTTATTCCTCCTAAATGCTTTCTTGGATCCTCCCAACCTCCGCTGATGGTGGCTCCATCCTTCCAACTTAGATCAAAAGCCTGTACTGGGCCTCCCCGGTGGCACAGCGGTTGAGCACTGGGTTGCGAAGCTGCCCGCAGCCTCTGCAGCGCTGGTTCGATCCCCGGCTGCTCCCCGGCCACCAGAGGAGGGTCCCACATGGCGCGCAGACCTCTCCTGCCGCCCGCTGCTCCCCTCAGCAGTGTACTTTGGTCCTTCTGCCTGCTCTGCTCCCCACTCTGGCTCTGGTGAATTCTCTCACCCTCCCGTGCTTCTGACTGTACCCAGTGCTTGAATGAATGAATGAATGAATGAATAAATAAATAAATAAATAAACTTTTAAAAAAAGCCTGTACTGATCTCTGACTCTTCTCTTCCGTTCACCCCTCAGAGCTGACCTGTCAGGAAATGCGGTGGCCTGTCTCCCAGACAAGCGCAGAATCTGCCCTCTTCTCATCACTTACCACCCACCCCTCAGCTCTCACCTGCATGAGTTACTGTGGCCCCATTGGCCCCCTGACCTCCCCCTCCAGACTATTCCCCGCACAGCAGAGAGATTTCAATAAAAGGTAAGCCAATCAGGGTAATCCTTAGCTCAGAGTCCCCCAGAACCGCCACCTCAAAGTAAAAGTCAAGTTCTTGAAAGACCCCACATGATCTGCCCCCTCACCATTCTGACCTCATCTCCTCCCCTGTCACCTACCCATTCTGCTGCAGCCCACAGTCCCCCTCCGGGCTTTTCGAACCTTCCAGGCAATTTGGCACTGGCCCTGCCCAATGCATGAAAACTTCTGCCCCAGACACCCTCCTGGCTACCCCCCTTGCCTCCTTCAGATCTAAGTTAAAATGACCCATTCCCTTGGATACCATCTCCTCATTCTTTTTAAAATTGTGAACTACTTTTTCCCATATTCCCCTGCCTCAATGTTTTCCACAGCACTCCCTACCACCTGACCTGCCATTTATTTCACTTATTCATATACCATCCCCCACCTGGAGATGGAAGATCCATGAGGACAAGGACAGGTCTGTTTGCCTCCCTGCTATCTCCTTGGCTTCCAGACCACTAATTGGTGCAGAGCAGACACATACGAAATACATATTGGGTGAATTAATTCATTTTACTAGCTGCTGAGGGAAGTACATGAGAAGCGAGAAAGATAAGGCCCCTGCCTCAGGGAGGTCAGGAAGATAAGTTACACACTCAGAAGAGTTAATGATATGCAGAATATGCATTGGTGCCAATTGGTGGCACCAGCTGTGGGTTTTGTCCCAATTCAACAAAGGGAGAGGTGAGAGCTTGGGCAATCAGAGAAGGTGTGAAAGAAGAGGCAGGAGCCATGCAGAGCCTTGAATAATTCATAGACTTCCTGTAAGAAAGTGAATCAGATTAGCTGGTTGTCTCTTAGCAAAGTCCTGAGGGGAAGAGATACAGGACGGATAAATTTGGGTGGGGGACACAGGAGAGGCCAGGGCCTGGGACCCGGCACTGATAGGGGTGCTGGACAGCCATACAGCAACACAGAAGTCAGGGTGGCTGAGGAAAGGCTGGGGTGCCCCTTTCCACCCCCATCTTAGTCAGTGCACCAGCCTACTGGAAAACCCCTCCTCAGAGACGCGTTGCCTACGGAAAAACCCATCCTCTCACAGGGGACCCTTCCACACATCCCCGGGAACTCCTTTCGTGGGTCACACATGCAGGAAAAAGACATGTAAATTAAAATGCCTGGCGTGCTTTTCCTAATCCCCCTGGCCCAGGTTATTATGGGGACGTCCCTCCGTCCTGCCCACTCTGGCATAGCTTCTGAAGCCCTGATGTCTCCAAGTCAGGCCCTCCCAGTGCCCAATGGTCTACGAAGCAGGGCACACATTGGGAGCTGAAGCGGAAAGCACTTAGAGAAAACGAGGGAACATGGAGAATGCCAAACAAGGTTAGGGAAGAAAACCTCTAGACCTGTAGCCCAGAGATGACAGGAATCGGCTGTAGGAGGAGCCAGAACAGAAAAGCTAGCCCTATGGGAGGCAGAAAAAGTAGGGATTCCCTGAAGGTATCAGGAAAACCAGGTCAGCAGATGGGCTCCCAGAGGTCCCTCCTGGCTCCAACATTCCACACCCTCCATCCGCCAAGCGGGGTCTTGGACTAACAGAATCAGCATGATCCGGACAGAGACATCTTAGTCCCAGGCCTTGCAGATTTGGTCTCCTCTGCTCTCCATGCTCTACCAGATCCTGCTTCAGGCCAAGAAGCAGCCAAGCTTAATCCCCCTCTTTGTTTTTACTGGAGCCAGAAGTACTGGAGCAGAGTTGTATGTCATGTGCCTGGCATTTTTCAATCCAGATGTCAGTTAGGACAGAAGGAATAACCCAGAACCCTGGAACAAACTGACTCCCAATGAGCAATATAAGTTCTACCCAATGAATGTAGATTACAACAAGCTGAAGAA